GTGAGATGCGCACTGCTGATGATTCCCAATAAGGATGAAACAGCTGTACAGTGCTTCTCGGCTTTTCAGCATAGGTTGGCTTCACTTACAGGACGAAATCCCACAAAAATCGCTATATTGTAACGTTACGGGAGATTAAGTTGCGTACTTTTACACTGATGATTCTCCTGCTCATACTCGACGATCTGATAGGCTGGCATTAACCCTGGGGGTTCAAATCAATTGTTGAAATCTTTCTTTGCCTCTAAATAACCCTTGACAGCAACCAATGAGCGGAGAGCTCAAAGCTTCCGATTAATTCGTCAACCAGTTAACCCAGCACCCTGTCATTTCGTTGACTGATGAAAGTCACCAGTTCCATACTGCAATATACAAATTGCTAGTGTGGTGAGATTTAGGAATTCTTAAGGAAGATTTATTTCCCTACTTGAAGTCAATCTATGCCGAAAAGTCAACAAGAGAGGTACAACAAGGTACCCTCATCCTTGACGTGTTATCCAAAACCCCTTTAATTTTTGCGTTCCCTGGGTAATTGAGATTAGCATTCAGACGTTAAAAATGTGAAACCTTATCTCATATGGTTCTGTTGTGTTCGGGCGTAACTTACATGCTAAGTTTGTAGAGAGACACCATAAAGCTCCCTTACAGTACGCGGTATTTCCGTGGTCACGACGTAAAGCTTACTTCTGCTGGATGGATCCAGTTGGTTTAGTTTTATGATTATATTACCCGCACAGAATTCCACCGTCGAAATTTAAGATTGTTTGTTTCTGAAGTTAACTACTTTAGAGTGCGCGGAGAGAATTAATCGGTCCAAAACACAATGCATTATATCATTACGACCTATGTTATTGTACTTTTTCTTGGGGTCTCGTTTACAATTTCATTTTGAGCTATAAAGAAACCAAATTGCTGCAGCTTAACCACCAGCATCTTTGTGCGTGAAATATCACCACCATATGGCAGTGTGACTTGTATTGTCCACGAAGCTTCTTACAGAGGAATCCCGATTAGTTTGCTGTCCAGATAATCTGACAGATTTATGGTGAAAGGGAGAAGGCTTTTGCTGCGGAGTCGTATATTGGAGAAACACCAGCTGAACAGTTGCAAAACTCTCATACACAACTTGTTTACAAAACTGAATATCCATCTTCTACTTGAACGCGTCTCCCTGAACTTTCCTGGATATTCATTCACTGTTACTCAAATGCAAGGAAATGCCACAAAGCAACTACATAAATTCCGTAATAGATCTCACTTTCCAAGAGACGCGAAGAGGATTTACGAGGAAATGCTACTCGCATGCCTCATTAGTAGTATTCACCGATACAGTGGTTGCTTGGCCCGTTGCATCTCAGCTCAAGCGCTTTTTCTTTTAAGTTTCCATGTCTTCGAAAGCTGCTAATTATTTCTGGCCTAATGCAGCTTACATAGTCATTTCCTTCTCATTCATCTTGGCAGTTTGAAATGTCCAGGAATGGCAACTTCGATCGGTCTAGCTCTATTAGGTTTGAAAACTGTGTTATAACTTTTTAATCTTTTTGCTGGCGGTGCCGGCTACTACCAAAAAACGGATCAGAAATATGCCAAAACGAAGAGCAATAGAACCTAAAGCACAATGTCATTAGTTGGGATGTTTCAGTCCCATTAACTCACATTAGCAGCAATGTTTGTCTTAAAGGTAAGTGAAAAAAATGTATCGTAGTCTGTAGGGGTAATGGTCCAATTTCACCAGACGTCATATTCAGCCATAATTTTGTGAAAACAAGGATTAAAATTCAAAGTTGTAGTCACGGTGACACGATGAGAAAACAAATGGCAGCCGACTGAAAAGACTGCTCAAAGCGCACACTGTGTGTGACTTTGTGTAGACTGGGGTCCGGAAACTAAATTTCACGTTGTCTTGTCCAGTTAGGCAGTGGCAGGCAATTAGTGGAGCGATTATTCAGCAAGTAAATAGCGTTTGTTTTAGGACATGATGGATTCAGATTTTTTTGTAGCTGAAAGTTGATTTTATGCTTCCAATTTGCTTAAAACCTCATGATATCCTAGACTGTGTAACAGAAATCTAGGGATTAAGCCAAATGAAAAAGCTCGCATAAGAAGATGGTACTTTCAATAATGTCTCGCTCAACTTGTAGTCCGCCATTAAAAAACCTAGGTTCTGTCAGTCTAACCCCTTTACCCTTTTGTGATGAAAAGTGTACTTTTTCGGAAGTTTTTCATCCGTTGTGTATTCTTGTTCTGGGACTAAAGGTGACTGATCTATCAAAATTTATCCCGAAATGATATAGCATCTTCAGATGGAGGTTCTCATATGAAGCGCTTGAAATCAACGCCGATTCACAAGATGCTGCAGATGTAGCATAATTCCAAGCAATAATGAAGATTGGTCCATTAATAAGGTAATAAGTATAAACCAATAAGCTTGGTCTCTTTGACTACATACGAGTTGTGTTTGGCTACACTCTCACCAACCATTTGGAACTGTATCACCCTGAATCATATTGAACAGTACCAAAAAAGATGTTTGCGACAGGCTGAATGAAATTCAGCAACATACTAAGCAGAACCTATGATCGGAATTCTGCAAAACCAGACATTGCACTTCTTAGCACTTTGGCCGAATGTTAATATCCTGCTACATGAAATGATGTGTTCCACTCATCTGCCATACGATATTCTTCTGGTTTTCTAAAAAAAATTATCCTTTTATCACCCTAAATTCCCCTCTTGATATTGATATCGGCATTGACAGAATTACCTTCTAGACAGGAACCAATTAAAGGTAGTGAGTTTTTGCGACCAGGTGGAGCGGATTCAGGTCAGAATCTCAGGAAAGGGAGTGAAAGAATAAGAACAAAAAAGACGGATATATATTTCTGGAAACCATCATAATTATCGTTATCGGCTGTAAGGACCGCGAACGTATTGTACAGTGGATAAATCTCCGACAGTTTCGTCTACCTATGATTTGGGGAGGTGGGGTGGATAGCTGCGCATGGGTACATAAATACAGGTCTGTCAGTGGACTTTTAAGTACGGATGGGGTTTAGAAGGAGGATACACATTGAGAGCAATAGGTTGGATGCACACGCACCATTGAGAGCGCGACTTGGCCTTATCTGACAATTTCTATATCCATTGATATGGCCCCTCTTAGGGCCTCCATCCAGGGAGATAGTAATGATAGCGCAGCTGAGTTTTCTTGTAGTCGTTTTCACGCTTCACTGCCAGGTCATTTTTGATCTCTTCCGGCTCGTTTCCACCCGTCGCGTGGTTCTGCAAAAACCCACGAAGTAGGTCGACTGGCATGCGCAGTACGTGAAAAGGCCAGCACAATCTATGAATTGTGATCGGTTCATCTATCGCGGGAGAGTTATTTCTTCCGAATATCATCCGACGTACTTCAGCATTGCTGATCTGGTGTTCCCACCAGACTTAAGCAATGCTCTGAAGATGTCGTTGGCCAAACATCGACAGCCTTTTGAAATTCCCGGCGCGGAGCAGTCAGGTTTCTGATCTGTTTTAGCAATTAGGATCTCAACATGGCATTGTAAACTTGACCCCTGACGGATAAGCTGATGTCACCTCCTCGTCGCAGGTAACACAAGTTCAAACCTTTCCAACCCGGATGAAAATCGCATCTTTTTTGAGACCACCGGGGATTATAAAGCAGCCCAGGTGGACAAACTAGTCTAGCACCTCAGGAGGCTCATCCGCAAGCATGGAGCTAGAGTTTGAGACTAAGCAGTTTTGCAGCAGCACTTCGCACTTTCAGGTGTTTCTGATGGCGAGATTTTGTAGAATATATACTCACCTGACTCTAGTTTGAGCAATCATCCTCCTGGCCTCGCGTTATCACTCTGGTGAGTCCTCACCAAAGAAAAACTGGACTCCAGTTCCGCTCTTATTAGAGCTCATCAACAGTGCAGATTCAATGACCGTGTCTGGATTTGAACTCCTCACATCTGACATGCGACGTAAGTGTGCTAGCACTAGTCCACCAGCGCATGCTGGACTCGTCCGAATTTTCACGTCTGAACAGGTGGACTTGTTAACACTTGAGTGATGTGCGACGTGTGAAGCGTATGTTATTCCGTGGAACAGAATTATTCGGATTAGTTATTAGTTGGATTACCGCGGCATGAAATCCAAGAAGAGCTATGTCGTCTGCGTACTCGTTATCTGTGACAGGACGCCTCGGGAGAACTTTGACTCCGCAGGCATTAAAGCATGATAGTGAAGCTTCCATACTCGTGGCAGTTACGAATTTGAAGAAGAAAGGTGAAAGAGGACAGCCTTGTCTGACACCATTCGATGTGGTGAACTCTCCCCAGGGTTAGAGAGAGAAGTGGGTATTCAACATAGAGCTTGTCAAGCCCTGGGCACAGACCACACGAAAGACTAACCTCCAACTGAACAACATTAGTATGCTATTGACCACGAGGCACTCCACTGAATCCGCACTTGCAATAATTTCATCACTCACACGGGCCCGAATGTAAAAATCCGTGCAACGGAACCCATGAGAAGAACTTAAATTAACTCAGGTAATGAAGCATGAACTTCTGACCAAAACATCTATTACCCAAACTGACTCCTATATTTCCACTTGCTCGGGACCAGAACTCGAATGCCCACTCGAGTTTCGTTATGAACTTGCAGCAGGTGCGCAGTAAACAGACGCAATAGTTCAGCCTCATTCTGGATGTAGACAGTACATAGTGGAATGAATACATGAGATGCAGTGAAAGTAGAAACTCGCCCACGAAAATCAGAAGCTCGTTGAGCTATTCCGGAGGTTATGCAGCAACCATGAACATTTTTATTTGTTAAGCTGCCTCCCATCCGTGTTATAGTTCGGGTGAGTGACTTGTTGTGCTTCAAGACTTAGGTAGAGTATATTTGTTCAATACACGAAGAGGACGTTCGTTATATTCTACACCGTAGTTGCAAAGTTTGTCAAAGCTTCATGCTTTTGTTGTAGCCGTAGGAAATATTTACATCAACACACCGCCCTTATAATTTCTCCTAGATATTCATTTAAGTCATAGACACATGGTCGGTTTCCTGTGGTTGCAGAGGGCACCAAAGGCCAATGAGAACTGAGACAACGCTGAATAGTTCATTTTTAATATTCTGTTTAGATGCCGGTTTATACGGATGATTTGGAATACCATACCGGTGCGAACCGAAAGCGAATCATACCATTATTATCTACTTTTTTACTTTTTGTCCAATATCTCAATATCCGGTCAAACATGTCTGGGCTTCAAGTATTTCCCATCTTATTTTGACCGTTTTCTTGAAAACAAAAACAGCTAACGGATAACAAATCAGATCAAACTCCACAAAATTTCTCCAGCATGTAACCTCCCACCACGCTTGAGTTAGCGCGATGTTCAGATTAGGATCTGTTGGCCTAAACTCACAGTTAACGGCTTTAAATACGAGCCCATACAGACACAATCTTACGAAATGGTAGAGACAATGAACAGGACGTTGATTTATCGCTGGGCCTCGCTATCTATAGCCGCTTCGAAAAATCCAATAAAAGTGGCCAGCATCTGACAAGTGGTTCTGTCCACTCCAACCGCGGTGACCATTTGGGGCACAGGCCACACTGGGGAAGCATCGAATATTGAATATTGAATAAATAAACGACTCTTTTAATACAGAGTTTATATTCCCACCATGTCTCCTGTTTCTGAGCAGGACCAACTATCATTTCTCGACAGTTAGCAACCTATCCTTCGGTGCAGTAACACAGTAAGTTTGAGTCAAATGTTGGAAATAAAACTTTCCGATTAACCAAAACGTTGCTTATTCCTGACGTCAAGATGTAATTTTTCGTAACCAAGTCGGAACTTGCTTACGGCGAAAGAGCAATGAATTTCCGCGAGATGCTTCGGGACTGTCATGATTTTAACACATTCACATGAGCATTTATGAAAAACTCATTTTGAGAGAATAAAAAAATATCTACTTAAACTGACGTACTCACTGAACCCCATAATAACTGTTCATTCTGTGTGGCTAGGATTTCATGCGCGTAGTCACATTGTAGTATACCATAATTCTCGAACAAATGCGACTGATATCGATAAAAAACCGTTACAGTAGTGCTTGCTCTACAATCATTCATTCATTCCATCAACTGGCTGATACCTGTAGCCAGGGGTTCCATTTTGAACGTTGGATTCAAAAGTGCACATTTGCAGTGGCTTACTTGCATTGTTTGGCTTCATTCACAAAGGTGTCAGGCTGAATGAACATGGAACACAGCTTGTTGTGCGCAGAAAATGTCCCTCCAGTATGGTTTTGATAGGTCAGTTTTTTTCTCGAAAGACGAACCCGTTTCACCACATGGACTGGGAAATCCAACTTCTTCGTTCAACATGTTTGATATATATATATATAGTGCTCTCTGACTGAACTCTGCACACCGTAGCACTCGCATTTCATTCGCAACAATACGGGGCTAGTTTTGAAGCAACTGGTTNATATATATAGTGCTCTCTGACTGAACTCTGCACACCGTAGCACTCGCATTTCATTCGCAAAAATACGGGGCTAGTTTTGAAGCAACTGGTTAGAGAACCAGGTTGATGAGATACCAACATCAGTCTTGATATCTAATGAAAAACCTAGGGGACTTACCGGAATACACAATCTCCCATTCGCAGTCTCACCAATGGAGTATGGGAGATACTCCTGTTCGGCCGCGAGCATTTCATCATTTGCAGTCATTCCAAGTAGAGAAGTGAAGTTTTCGTAGGTATTAGTGATATTGCTTTCTTGTTGCAGCTTAGCCGAGGTCCCAATAAAACGCAGCCTATCGGCAAAAGCCACACATGTCCTAAATGAATACAATCCATGAAACAGACCCAGCATTTTTTTGTAAAACTTACGGAGATTGTCGGACGCCATGCTCATTTTCAAGGGTCACGGTGTTTCCGTTCTGTGTAATGGCCACGCACGAGTTTGCTGCACCGATGTCAATACCGATTCCATGATAAGGTATCATATCACTAGTATAGATATGTCAGCACTGATTTGCAAAGAAGCTGTGGGAAGGAAAGTGGCGGTGAGTAGGTGCTCAAGCAAAACGGAACTGCGCATTATAATTGATTACAGTATAATTTCCGTGGGGGGGGGGTGAGGGCAGGTGTCACAAAGGACCGTACCTGTCGGAAAAGCCATTGTGACTTTTCACCGATGACCTAGGTCATTCAACATCCGGGTGCAAAAAATCGTGGGAAGTATGTTGCCCACGAAGGATTTCATCCCCCGCTACAAGCACCTGTCGGGAAACGATATCTAGATGCAGAATGATTTGCGCTCTTCGAATTAATTCGGATTCCCATCATGTCTCAACGTGGTAAAGCTTTTGTGTCCTCAAATTTGAGACTTGTTTCCTCATTTCCTGCAGTTTGATATTCATATTAAACTTTTCTCCTGGCCAGAATCTTACACATAATGGGAATCATATACGTCACCAGTACCATGCAGCTTCGTGCGGTTTGAGACCAATGCAGATATGTTCTAGAGCACGGGACTAACAAGCTGCGGATCCTTACAAACCACAACTGCGTCTATTACAACCGCCCAAATTTATGTATAAACGGCTACGGGTAAGATAGTTTCATTGTTCACATGATTTTCTCTTCACACGACTCAAGTGGGCTTCAATAGTAGCAAGACTGACTGGTAAATGATTGTTTTCTCTGCTTTTTTGAGCAGAGATTTTGAGCGCTAGATTCTGTTCACCTATGCTCACCATGCAACACTTGAAACTGCACAACAGACGAATTGTCCAACAAAGCTACCGGAAGCAATTAAACTGAATGTCATGTAGGCAGAATTTGAAAATGCTACATAAGTGAACACCATTAACACCCAAACACCCGATTGCACATCGGACTAACAAAGTCTACAAACTTTGTCTGCTTCTGACTATTTGATCAAGCCTCTCTCTAGAAATAATCCTACTAAAGGAGGTTTAGCGTCGAAACACACGTAAGGAAATACTATTTCAAGGGTTGGTCGTGGTTTTGTCCACCGAGTTGAGGGATAGCATTTCAGGGATTTCTAGAATCGATTGATTGTATAAATCCTATTCAAGTGTGTTCGAAAATTGAACTCTCCAGCCTATATGTCACATGGCGTTCAATCTGTTTAGCAAGATAAAAGCGGAGTTTAGCCGAAAAATTCTTAAGTCAAGCTTCAAGAAACAAACCTTTACTCATTGCTTGTTATAGAAAAAACGTTTCCTGGGATGTAGCACGAAAATAATGAATTTCAACTGCTCAGCTTTGCATGTCATAGGCGGAAACTTCTTACAGCTAACCTACAGAATGGCTCATTTGGAGCGACATTTGATGCTGAAAAACAAATATTTGGTGCGTGGTACGTGCATTGTAAATGTCTCATCAGAGAACGTATGCAATCAAGCGCGGGATACCAAGCAAACCGTGGGTATGTTGCTGGTTAAACGTTCACCAACAAAGTAGCAATCCAGGCTTGGATGATAGCATGCACCATGACACGAGGGATGCAACATGGTTGTACGTCTGACAGTAAGAGTAATAGATGAAGTTGGTGCAATACAACAGGATTGGGTTGCTTGGCTTTTCTTGATCAGCTGGAAAGAACCAGTAACAATTGGTTTTGTATCATTATAATCCAAGGGATGATTTCAGTAGCGAAGTTTTCCATCCATTTATGGCGGAAAGTTCAAGAAGCGTCCCACAGCCAATTCTACTGAGTCTGCAACCCTTTCAAATGCGCGTCCCCAGCAACAGTAGGATGGCTCAATTATATGGGTCCCCGGATGTGCA